CCAACCAGCAAGGCTGGCTGGGGAATTCTGGGAGTTGAAGTCCACACGTCTTCGAGCCGCCAAGGTTGAGAAACGCTGTGCTAGACAAACTCCACCAGGTAGCAAAGCCACCACAGGAAGCTGGCTTTGTCCTTGTTGTTACCTGCCCTGGGGCTGTGAAAGGGGAGGAGAGAGGAGGGTTTGGAGGGCCACCGCTCTCGTTTTGCCACCAACTCTCTTACAGGGGGGCTGGTGTCTTCAAACAAACCACAGTAGAACCGCACAGCTGGGATGAGACCAAGTAGTACAGTCCACGTTTAAAGCCTTGACCCACTTGCAAGAGAAAGGATGGGGCTGTCTTGTTCCTCTCCCCAAATATGCGTGGGAAGGTAACACGTCAAAAGAAGAGGGAAGATGGCTATTTATTAAGATTTATTTCATTCATGGGTTTGCTAGAATTATATCCTGCCAAGGGCTCAGGGCAATGTACGTAGCAACCCCTCACCTCATCTCCCCTACAATAACTCTACGAGCTTGGATGGACTGAGAGAGAGAGAGAGAGAGTGAAAGGACTAAGATCATCTAGGGAGCTTATGTGACTGAGGATGGAGCTAAGCTTGGCTTTTAATCCAACAACCTAACTGGTCCAGCACATGGCCACTCCCAATCTCCCTGACATGCTTGTTTTCTATGGTGAGGAAGCACCGTATCACTGTAGAAGATGTCACTTGGATTCTCAAGAGGGACAGGTGGCCCTCAACAAGATCTAACTGGTCACCCCAAAAAAGCAACAGATCCTCCTACCTGAATGACATATCCATGGGCATTTTCCCTGATGGGCAAGGCTGTAACCCAAATGATGAGACAGCTTGAAGGAAGAATATTGTCCAAGGCTTGAAAGAGTTTCTCTGCATTCTCACAGTATTCTCTGATAGCTTTCGGGACCGGGGGCTCTGTGGGAACGTCATCATGATATCTGCGCGGAAGGGGGAATCAAGATAGGCTCAACCCACGTAATCTTAACAGGAAAGTTGTGACAACTCTGGAAGACATCCATTATTCTTAAAACAAGAAATTGTTTCAGGACAAGCTTGTCCCAATGAGGCATTTTTAGAACCAATAGGAAACAACAGACAACCAGAGAAAGCATTGATTAGGCCAGTGTTTCTCAGCCTGAGCAATTTGAAGAGGGGTGGACTTCAACTCCCAGAATTCCCCAGCCAGCATGGCTGGCTGGGGAATTCTGAGAGTTAAAGTCCACCCATCCTAAAGTTGTTGAGTCAGAGAAACACTGGATTAGGGCAAGCCAGATGAATAAACACCTGGAGATGACCATTGTAGAAAAGGCCCCATGTGGCCCATGGAAGACTTGCATCTTAGATTAAGTTATACCACAAAATAGCCCT